CATCTCTCTCCCCAGTAATGGGACTACTTTCCATTATTCAAGTCTCATCTGCAGTCAGTCTAGTTGAAGCAGCACACTCAATCCCTTTCTACATTAACCCATTGCATCCTCTCCAAAAGTCATGTTGTACCTCTGGCATTATCTTCATTTTTTTATTTCTCCACCATGTTTAAAGACTATCTTCCTCCATTAGGATGCAAACCCCATGAAAAAAGGAACTCAATAAAAAGTCATTGATGAACTAGTAAATATTTATTGATTATGTGACTAGCATATTGACTCTAAAATGTTATGAAAGAGATAAACACAAGATTATTATGAAAGATTATGAAAACATTAAGGAACCCTTTCCAGCAGAGGTGATTTTGTTACTGTTGTTGACTATTTCAGGCTAAATAAATATTCAACACATGGGCAAAGGAAGCAGAGCATTCCGGGTGAAGAGTGCATGTAATGACAGGGTCACAAAAGAACACTGCTTCTTCCTGGGGCCCCACTTCCTTCAGTGTGTCTGATATACAGGTGATGCTGAAGAGGAGCAGCCACATAGACTAGTAAAAAACATGGGTTTTGAAGCTGAGAGTAAATCTTGGTTCTTACACTAGTAAAGAAGATAACTTTAGGCAGGTTATCAGTCTTCTCTGTGCCTCAGCTCCCTCACCTGTAAAAGGAGGATTCATTCAATTCACATCACGTCCACCTCATGGGATTCTTGGGAAGATTCAGTCAGTGAAAATGCACAAAATGGTTAGAAGCATGTAAGTGCTCACAAATGAAACCTATTATCATTATGGGCAGGTGGTGGTGCAGAAAAATAATAACACTGTGACAGCCCTATTTTTATTCTAAACTCACGTATGTGCAGATTAACCAATTTAATCCATACAGATTTATGAGAAAGTTACTATTATTATCACTATCTTACAGATAAGGAAACTAAGAAATAGGTTAAATAATTTACCCAAAGGCACACAGCAATTACTAGCAGAGCTGGGATCTAAATCTAGAAAGTCAGGCATTTAAATCTTGGCTTTTACCATTATGGTATGCCACCTCTTTGAAAACCTAATTTATAGGGATCTTGTGAGGAAACATGAAATAAAGTACATAAGTGGTTTAATAGGGCCTGATATGTATTAAACACTCAATAATTTTATCTTTTTTTTAAAAAAAAAAAAGTCTGTGGAACAACAGAGCTATAATTAGGATAGGTCGATATTTAGAAAACACAGTTTCTGTGGATTTTCTGGAAGACTCAAAAGAACCCAAAGAAGACAATTAGGCAGCATATCAGAAATAACTGGCTGGTTGAATTACTGCTCAACAAGCAGTAGAAAGGTGGAATAGCCATAATCACTTGCTTGACCTTGATTTCTGGTGGGAGCACTGAAGGCCTCCTGTGCATTAATCTTTGCCCAGCTGTACTTCCTAACTAATTAATTTTAGAAAGGTCTAACTCAATTAATTATAAAGTAATGGTTGTCACTTCCAGCTGCCAATTCATCTATATTACAAACCGTAGCTAATTAGTTAGTGTATTATATCACTTTCTTGGAAACACACTATTTGCCTATCTACATTAAATTATATATTTAAACCCTGCATGTAAGTTATACATTATTCTGCAATAAATGGTGAAACTAGTTCTTTTGTATCTACACACCATAAAAACACCAGAATGACAAAGAGAAAGTACCTTTAACATGCCTAATCAAGTTAATAAATAATCGGGCAAGCAAAGTTGACAAGAATTCCATATCGGAACATGACAAAGACCTCTAAAATGCTGCAGCCAGCCAGCCAAAATCCTGGTGATTTGGTACTCTCAAGAGACTCGTGACCTTGAGGAGAAGGGAATCAAAGCAGAATTAAAGGTGCAACTCTATTTATTCCATGTAAACGGTTAGGCAGCCTCTACACAAATGTGAAGACCTGTATTTACTTTTACGAAGGAATGTAGAGGCAGAAAGACGTGATACCTTTCTTCACCCATCATAAGGGTCATTGTTGACATTCCTAAAATGAAAGACTGGTTAACAAGAGAAAAGTGTAACAAATTTATTTAATCAAAGTTTTACATGACACAGGCGCCTACAGAAATGAAGACCCAAAGACCCAGGGAAAGCTATTTTTATGCTTAGGTTTGATAAAGTGGTATAGAAATGTGATTGGACAAAAGGGTGTAATCTGACTGTAATTGACTGAGGAGGGAAATGCAGCAAGGTCTGTCTGTTCAGATTGTTCTTGGACTGTTAGTGTAGCATTCCATCTGAGTATAGGACAGTACGCCTCTGGAATGAAGGTCTTCAAAGAAGAAGGCAGAAGATAGAGAATGGCCTTTATAGGTTTTATGGCTTGCTTTGGAGAAGAGGACTTCTGTTTCTATGACCCTCCTTGGGAAACAGGAGTTCTTATTTCTATGACTCCCTTCAGGGAAGAAAGAGGGGTGGGAGACAGAAGGGCAGAAGAAGATCAGAGAGAACTCGCTTCCAAGGCCCTTCCAATCTTCAGTTCAAAGTACTCAGCATGCCAAGATACCCTGCTTTGGGGTATCATATTAAGAATCCCAACAGAAGCAATTATATTTCTTTGTCCAAGCCTTCCTTTCTTCCCTTCTATCTTAAAAGAAAAGGTGTTTCTCTTATCCAAGGCTAAAACCTTCATCAAAGCTCTTAATCTCATTCCCTCCCACCTCCCCTGAGACTTCACTACATAAACATCTCTGTTTTCTTTTGCATTATCAACTGGTGCTTCTCTTGACCCTTTCTCAGCCTATAAACATCTTGTATCCTGCTTCTGAAAACAGCTTTCCTAAGGCCTGGCACTGTCACCACCAGCATCACTGCAAACTACTGCCCTATCCCTGCTGCTTTCCTCATGCCAAGGGGAGTCTCAAGTCTTGTATCCAATTCTTTATCTATATAAAAACTTTTTTTAGAAGAGAAACTGCTATGCTCTGCCTGGACTTAGCACTTTATTCATAATCCACATAAAACCCCTTGCACAGTAAGTACCCAACCAGTATTAGCTGTTGTGGTGGCTGTCACTGTCATTTTGAGTGTAGGATATTATACAGTATTTCAGAGTGTAGCCTCCAAAATCAGACACTATAGCCCAAATCCTGGCTCCACCTCCTTCAAACTGTGTGACATTAGGCAGGCCATGTAATTTTTGAAACTTTGAATTCTTAAATATAAACGGCAACTCCTCATAAAGTTGATGAGAAAAATAAATCAAAAGAGGTGACGCATACATGTGCTCACTACTTTGTCCACAACCTAGTAAGTACTCAAATATGCTTTTTAAATATGTAGTAACTCTGCAGGTGCACAATTTTTATTCATTCCTCTCCCTTTTGATAAGTATAACAACTTTCCTTTGGGAAATGACTTTCTCCACTGCTTATTCCAGGAGGTTGGGCTCTATCCCTGACTTCAGAGTTGAAACATATGACTCAAGTCTGGTCATGCAAAGCACTGAATCCCTTTTCTAGGTATGTGACTCGGACATGGCCAATCAGATCACTGAATCTTTCTTCTGGGCATGTGATCTGGGCTGACCCGTCAGAGCACCAAATCCCCTTCTGAGGCCATGTGACCTAGCTTCACCAATCAACAGAATTCCACTGTTTTGGTCTTCTTGTTCAGTTCACCAAGGGGACTTTCCTGTGTTTTCATCAGAAGGAATTCCAGAATTTTTGTAAGAATTATCAGTACGATATATTGTCTTCTTCCTACCTAAATGGGTGTGATATGGGAAGCTTCTGGAGCCATCTTGCCATCATGTCAGTCTGGAGAAGTCCTCCCACAGACTGGTGCAGAGCTAATCCAATAGACCTGACATTGCTTGAGGCCCTAAATCCAGCCACGACTGAGGTCTTGCCTTGCTCTGCACTTCTCATTCATTCGTCAGTAAATGAATTTCTGGATTAAGCTGGTTTGCGTTTTTTCTCACTTAGAACTGAAAACTGGCATAAATGCTTATCATGGTTTAGCATAGCAACTGTTTGAAGGTAAGGACCCGTTTTGCAGATCTTATTCTGGAGCTCCAGTAGAGTTCCATGGATGGTCAAAAAATAGGTGTTGTACAGAGGAGAAAATATTCTGTTTATGGTGAGGCGGGGTACATTCTACACCCATGCCTCATTATCGTGCTCAACCTTTAGGCACAGATTGATTCCAGAGGCTGGCCCAAAATGGTGATGGCCACAAAAAGCTGCAGAAAAAAAAAAAAAAATGTTCCTTCACAAGTTCATACCTTCCCAGGGACTAAGAAAGCTGTTTTCATTTGAAATGTCATCTCTTGCAGCTGTTATAAAAGAAAACAAATAGCTTATTTAACAAAATACTTAACTGAGCAGACTAGATCACCGTGTCAATAAGCATTTTCAAACAAGATAATTCCTCCCCTTACAATGGAGAATTGCATGCTTCTGATGTTAAAATTACTTCCCTTGTGACATTATCTTTCAGGACTGATTGTTTTCTCCAAAAGCAACCATTTCCCAAGTTTAAATGAAAACCAGTGGCATGAAAAGTCATGAAAAGAACAATGAAACAAATTCACTTTTAACAAACTTTTCAAATTTCGTAAGTTTTCTGGAAATTGAGAGACATCTATAAGATGGTCCAATCTAGCTAAACTGCCTAGAAATAATATAACGATCTTATAATTGGAAAAAAAAAAACAAAACCATATTTCTGTTTCCTCTGCTGGACACAAGGATGAAGCAGGAGAGAGGCAGGGCATGGATGAGCAAAAAGAACAAAGGATTCAGGAAAATAGTGGGGAAACTTGGGGGCAGCCCAGGGAGCTGAGAAATGAGAGACATTAAGCAATGTATGTGAATTGCTTATGTGAATTGAGGGCATGCAAACTGAATGTTAAAAAAAAAATGTTATTTTGATGCAGATGGCAACAGAAATAAATTCTGAGAAAAAAACTGTGCACTCCATCAAAAGCCCTGCAGGCATATTCCTATTCCTTCTGTTGCTTTGCAGCACAGGAACACAACAAAGAAGCACCGACGCCAGTTAGAAAATTATGGCAACCAGTGTGACTGCCATGGAAAGGCCCTTCCCACATTTGGCACATTTTCCAGGTCTAAGAGGGTTTTCATCAGTGAAAGGGCTGTTGCTGAACAATGAACCTGCTCCTTAGCAGTGAGAAAGGTTGTTGACTCTTCAAATTGGCATCTGCAGCTGCTGGTCCTTACAGTCTGTGCTAATCAGGGCTCCTCCTCTTTCTAGCAAAAGCTTGGCACCATTTTAATTATTTTGTAAAATTTGCCCTCCATTAGCTCTACCATTCTGGGACATAAAAGGGAGTAAAAAGCCCTCTAATTTGAGGATTCATTAAGCAGCTTTTGTTACTTAGTTGATGTAGTAGATGCCTGAAATTTGCTGGTTTGCTGAATTAGTATAAGCAACTATAATATTCTAGCCATACTAGTTTTCGTTTGTTTCATTCTGAGGTCAAGCTACTAGAAAACATAGACATCCAGCTAAAGAATATACCAATATTTTTTGTCTCCTTAGAAGAGCATTTATTCTCTCAAAGATTATTGAGCTACTACTCTTTGAAAGAGTTCTTATGATACTGCACAGTTGCCATTTTATGGAGTGAACTTTACCATGAGAAACTCTATTTTCTCTAGGATAAGTGATGAAGGTGAGAAGCTGGCCCTTTATAAAATATTGTTTTTGATTTATAATCCACATACATACATTCCCTCTCTCTACTTACTACTTCCCAGATTTTAGCAAGAAGAGAAAGCAAATCATTCTTCCAAATTGCATAGCCGAACAGTATTATCTCTACTCTGCATGCTGGGCAGAAAGTCAAACATGACCAAAGAGGATAACTGTGAGAAGAGTGAAATCGGACAACATCCCTCCACTACTACTGCGGAGTTTGTTGGAGATGAGTACCCACGATCCCATCATAACCAACCTTCTCCCTTCTTCCTGTTGATGGGCAGAATTATTTGGCCAAAAATTCCATCAGAAAATTATTACCCTTCCCCCTACTCAGTCTCTCCAAGTGATTAAAAAGTTGAAGAACCTAGTCTCTCTGGTCAATTTTTAATAGAGAAATCTAAGACTTTGTTTTAAAGGTATACATTCCCTTTCTGATTTTTAAATAGGTGAAAACAACATCTTCATATTGTATCGTGAGCCCTAAATGCTAGCTTTCTATAAATAAAGGAATCAGATTCATTTGTGAAGAAAAAATTGGCATCGGGGGCAGCCCAGGTAAGGCTGAACACCACACAGAGCAAAACATTTTCTCTAGACTTCAAATGTTCATCTTTACAAAAGATGCTGAAATGAGGACTCAACAAGGGATCTGTAATTCTCTCCATTGGTGAGAAATTGGCACCAACTACAAACTGAAAAAAAAAAAAAATTATTCTATAGTTCCTGTCCCCAAAGGTCACTCTTGGCCACATTTTGTCTCTGAAGGCAGAGAATTGAAATATTATTTCTCTTGTGAATTATTTTTTGTTCCTTTATTGAAATTCAATAGAGTAAAAATAACCGCTGCCTATTATCCCTTGCCTGTCAGCTCTACCTGGGCTGAGGTGGTGGGAAAGGACAGGAAGAGCTGTTACAGATGTTTAATAGAAGAAAGCCCTTTTTGGAATGTGTTTGCATGACTCATAAAGAACAGTTATTCTTAGCTTTCCCGTCACAAAAGATAAAGCTCTTTGTCCTATAATACAGGCGTCTACTTAAAAGGAAAACCCAAGGTTCATTCAAAGCTAGAGTTCAATAATAAGCTCTCATTATAGTACTTGCCCCAAACCCCCGGAGTTATATTGTATCACTCTTTGCAATCCTGGAGTGCAATGTAAAATTTTATTCTGTTTGGCTTTTTAATTTGCCAGGTTTGTGCCACCTGGAAGAAACAATAGGCACTGCTTAATGTGCTAGTAACGACTTTAATTCAGTTACAGCAATCATTCATTTAGCAGTACAATAAATACGATACGTTATATAGAAAATTCATCATCTTTTTGGATCACCTTCGCAGAATCAGACCTTATAATCAAACCCTCAATCTAATATTGATTATGTTTTGGATAAGCCTGTCTTGATTCCCAGAACCAAAAAGCCAATAACGTACTGAATCAATTTACTAAAGGATAGCCCACTCTTTGATGGATTAAATAGCAAGAGGTCAATGGAGACTAAACGGACTTCACTGAAATTGAAATGTGTCTTCTCTTCAGGTTACTTCTGAACCAGTTTCTTGTACATTCTTAGATTTCTCTTCTTTTGGATCTTTTCAGCTCACCAATGTATCTTTTCCCTTTGATCACTTATTCTACTCAGATTTTTATTCTTTCAACATTTACTAAATGTTATTGAACACTTTCTTTGTGCCAAGTTCTATCTTTGGGAAAGTGATAGAAATTCTCAAGGATAGAAATTCCCTAGAAGGGAAGACAAATAAGAAAAATGTTCTTAATACATAGTAATAAGAGGTACAAGGATTGGAAGTTCCAAGGACTCTGTGAACCTAGAGAATAGGTGCCCAGATCTCTCTTGAGCCAGAATGTGACTTTTAGTAAAGGATTACCACTTTATCTCATAGAAAAGTAGGGCATATATATGTACGTAGATATAGATATAAATATAGATATAAGTTGAACCCCTGCGTCAGTGGAAGGCAAGAAGAGAATAATCCTTATATGTGCTCTTTCTTCTGTTTGAAAAACTCCCCAAACTAAATCCTCCTGGTCTCTTAGATCTCAGGAAGTCTTCTGTGACTACCTCTTCCCAATGCAATCCTCAAATCTGGATTGGGGCAAGCTTCCTAATGTGCCACAAAAGCACCCTGAATTTACTCCTGTAGTACTTCAAGTGAGATTAAAACTGAATGCACCCAATGACTTAGATGTCCTCAAAATACTGTTTTATTTTTTACTGCCTACCTCTGGAGTCTCTGTTTTCACTGATAATGGTGAGAGGGGAGGACACTTGTCAGTTAAAGATAATTCAGCCTTTTTTAGTTTAAAACAGGTCTCTTTAAAAAATTCTTCTGTCAGTTTAATGCTCCAAATATTTCTCATTCTTCGTTAGGGCTGTCTGTGCTTTCTCAGAAGGAAGGGAATTGCCTCACTCCCTCTTCCCTGAGATGGCATCTGGAAGAAGGGGAATCTCATTATGCTTATAGTAATACGATGGTGTTCTTGTCCACATTTTGCCCTCTGTTCCTTCATTGGCCTGAAAGAGATGTCTATCATCTCATTATGTCACGAAGTGTCATATATTGGTATCCCCCGAGGTGTGGCTAATTCCTCTGTGTCTTGCATTCTTCATTGGTGTTTTGTAATCAAATATTGAGTAGATACGAATGAATATTTATATATATACATATACACACATAAGTATTAAAAATGATACAATGCCCATTTACCCACTACCCAGTTTAAAAAAAAGAATGTTGGCCGGGCATGGTGGCTCAAGCCTGTAATCCCAGCACTTTGGGAGGCCGAGACGGGCGGATCACGAGGTCAGGAGATCGAGACCATCCTGGCTAACACGGTGAAACCCCGTCTCTACTAAAAAAAATACAAAAAGCTAGCCGGGCGAGGTGGCGGGCGCCTGTAGTCCCAGCTACTCAGGAGGCTGAGGCAGGAGAATGGCGTAAACCCGGAGGCGGAGCTTGCAGTGAGCTGAGATCCGGCCACTGCACTCCAGCCTGGGTGACAGAGCGAGACTCTGTCTCAAAAAAAAAAAAAAAAAACAAGAATATTTTTGCCATTGCTGTCTCTCACATGCCTTTCATTTTACCCAGTTCTCTCTCTGTTCAGGGGAGCATAATCCTGAATTTTGTTTTTATCACTTCCTTGCTTTTTTTTACAGTTTTAACACATATGTTGGCATCATTAAACTTACTTTTTTTTTTTTGTGACTACCTGCCGCCCAGGCTGGAGTGCAGGGGCGCTTTCTCTGCTCACTTCAAGCTCCGCCTTCCGGGTTCACGCCCTTCTCCTGCCTCAACCTCCCAAGTAGCTGGGACCACAGGCGCCTGCCACCATGCCCGGCTAATTTTTTGTATTTTTTTTAGTACAGACGGGGTTTCGCCACGTTAGCCAGGATGGTCTCGATCTCCTGACCTCACGATCTGCCCGCCTTGGCCTCCCAAAGTGCTGGGATTACAGGAGTGAGCCACCGTGTCCGGCCTAAACTACTTTTTTTTTTCACTAAGCATGTTCCTGAATTTATCGCTATTGTTGTGTGTAACTGTAAATTTGTTATTTTTTTCTCAAATATATAGTATTTTGTTAGATAAAAATGTCAGAATTTGTTGCTTTTATAATAATGGGCATATGGTTAGATTCTAGATTTTCTGTTTTTGTTTTTGTGTTTTTAAACAGTATCTTCTGGTGAACATGTAAAATATTGTTTCTAGAATATATACCAAAGACGGAAAGTGCTATATTATAAGGTATGCATATTTTCATCCTTCTAGAAAATGCTACTTTTTTCACAAAATTTTTATATTGATCAATAGTCCCACTATCAGTACAAAAGTGTTCTAGTATCTTCACAGTCTTATCAATACTTGAGATAGTTTAACTTTTTTCCTAGTTAATAGACATAAAAATATATCTCATTATGGTTTTAATTTGCATTTCCCTGTTTGTTAATGAGCATGAACATTACTTCCTAAGTTACTAGCATTCCTGATACCTAATCTGTAAAGTCAAGTCTCTTCAAGTCTTTTGCCAATTTTTATATTATTTTGAATTTTTTTGGGGGAGTGGGGTATAGGTAGATGTTCTTTACGCTTTTGTTATACAGCCATTTTGCATGATATGTTTTGCAAATACATTTTCAAATCTATGCCTTTTCATTTTCTTATGGTATGTTTTAATTTCTCATTTTAGTGTAGTCAACTTTGTCTATATTCTAATTTAGTGGGGGGGACTTTTAATGTCTTATTTAATATATATTTCTTAAGACATAGAGTATCTTACATTGTCTGCTCAATGTTGTATTTATTGTTTTGACTTGCACATTTAAATCCTTGTATTCACCTATAATAAGTTGAATTTTTGTAAGCTGTAGAATAAGAAATTCTTTTTTTTTTTTCATATAAAAACTCAATTGCCCCAGCTCCACTTAATGAAAAG